TCTAGAACGAAGCGGGGTCTGTTGACCCTCGCTCGTCTCTGATGGTGAGACATTTTCACCATATCTAAGGTGGTGCCCAGCTGAGCCCCACCTGTGTGTTTCGATTGGGGAGTGCTACTCGCCCTCCCCTCGGATTGCGACTCTTCTTCGTCGGTCTCCGATACAATGTGAGATGCAGCGACCAGTCTCGGCCTCTGCATCTCCTTCTCGTCCTTCGTTGACAGTTTTTGGGGTTTATCCTCTCCCAGGAGTTCCGAAGCTCGGTTGTTTTATTCATCTCGATTTATGAACGCCCGCTTTGCTCGACCTGGCAAGCGCAGCGGGCCAGAGGGGGTTTAGGCCTTTGAAGACAGTTCGACCGCAGCTTCGCCCCAAAACTGCGGCAAGGCCACTAACGACCCAGGGTTGCCTGGCCCTGGGAAGGCTCCGTTCAGACACGGCGGGATTAACCCCTCAACTGCGAACCTGGAAGTCACTGTGCACGGGTCGCATCACACACCTGACTTGAGGGGAGGCTGATTAAAGACTTGCCTAAGTCCGCCCGACTACAATTGGTCAGCATCCGTGGTCGAGCCTGGGGACCTGCTTCCAGCCGCCCTCGCTTGGAGAGTATAGTCGCACTACCGATGGTGTGCACAGTTACGACAGATGACATAGTCATCCGTTGATCCCCCTATGCACCCTATTGGCTGACGGCCCAAGTCATAATATTCTGGGATTTTCTCCCATGTCCTGTATTACTTTAAATAAAGCCTTCTTATTTGTTGTAGCCCGTTTAGTCACTTTCTTTTTCAATAAATACCAAAAATTTTCTATCGGATTTATATCTGGGCTTTCCGCAGGAGTGTCAATGACTTTTTTGCAAATAAACTGGACCCAGGTCCTGCACAGCTGCGATGCTTTTTGGACAAGTTGCGTCATGCAGACACAATTTCTCCGCGCTTCTGATCAATTCCTTTTTAAGGATGTCCAAATAAAACTCCTTCGTCATTATATCATTAAAAGTCCGCAGCTCACCAACGCCTTTGGATGATATGCACACCCTTATCATTACAGACAGCTTGCCAAATTTGAATGTGGGTATGATATTTTTCGGCTGGAAAGCTGTTTTTGGTTTCCTCCAAACTTTAATAAAAATTAAGTTCATTCCATCACTCAAAAGGCTGGTTAACGTGGGCGATAGAGAAGTTAAGCCGCCTTTCAATATTTATAGCTGAAAGCATCGGTTTGTAGCATCTGTTGTGTAGATTCTGGACTTTCGTCACACTCTCAAGGCAAGCAGGTTGCCAATCATTTTTTAGGTCCAAAGCCAACCGTCTGAGGGTTGTGGGCGGGTTTTGATCAATTTGTTTCAAATTTTTAGAATGGTCGTGTCTGGAGAGCTTTGGTGGTCTGTCTGTAGAATTGTACAGGTGGAGTCTATTTTTCTTTTTAGCCCGTTTAATTATATTATAAATTCTTCTTAAATTAATATGAAACATTTCTGAAAGTTGCGACGCCGATTACCCTTTGTAATAATTAAAGTAAACCAATTGTATGGTATTATCGTCAATTCGTTTGCCGGGCATGATTTAAATTTTGGACTTGATCAAACACGAACTTTTCTGAGAAAATTCTTCAATATAAAAGTTAATCAGTTATTTCTCCATGTTAACATGGTTTTATTAAGCGAAGATCAACAACAACAAATCTTTCGGAGCTCTCTTCCTATATTAAAAGGGCTTCCATAATAATTTTCAGACAGATCTAATCTATACTGATTTCAGTAAAGCATTTGACTCTGTTAACCATTCTCTCCTCGTTAGAAAACTCGATTTAATGGGTTTTCCAAGTGATCTTCTTAATTGGATCTCAAGTTATCTGAATGGCAGGACGCAAAAGGTCCTCTTTAAGAATAATTTATCTAATGTTTTAAGGGTTACATCTGGCGTTCCGCAAGGAAGCCATTTGGGACTCTTATTGTTTACATTATTTATAAATGACCTCTCCAAAGTCTTGACCAACTCCAGAGTGCTTATGTACGCGGATGACGTCAAGCTTTGCGTGCAATACAATGACGTTGCCTGCCAGTCGGATTTACAAACAGATCTTAATAATTTTCAAACTTGGTGCCGTTTAAACTTATAAAACTTAAATGGCTCGAAATTCAAGCTAATGACATTCTCTCGTGTCGTGTCGTGTCTCGTAAGCTTGCTACTTACACGCTAAACTGCTGCTCTTTGGAAAGAATTATTTCTGTTGATGATGTGGGCGTCCGCTTGGACCCAAAACTTGACTTTATTGATCATATTTCGTCTATGGTGAATAGAGCCAGGAATGTGCTTGGATTTATTAAGTTGAAGGAATGCAATGACCCCTATGTTACTAAATCCATAGTAAACGCATCGAGTCGGTTCAAAGAACTTTTTACTTTAAATTGGGATGCAAACCAAAGATTACCTTCCTACTCTAGTAGACTCCTATTAATAAACTTGCCGTCCTTAGCCAATCGTAGAACGATGCTAGGGATAACCTTTATTTTTAACCCTATGCATGGTGATGTGGAAAGTGCTAACTTGATGAATCAGCTTATTTTCCACGTACCATGTAGAACTACTAGATCCTATATCCCATTAGTGTTGCGCCACTGTAGAACCTCCTTTGAACTGCATGAACCTTTTAGAGTGCTATGTGCAAATTATAATGATTTGTACACACTAATCTCTAACGTAGATACCCTTCCCAAATTAAAATCTTTAATACTAACACACTTAGTAAACATGCAAGCTAACAACCTGGCATCACGTCGATAGTCGTTTCTCGTATTCTGTCCTATATTTTCCATCACTCCTACTAACACCTAACCCAAACAGGCATGTGCCATGTACTGACCGTAGTGCATCAACGTCCTATAGAAAAAATTAACTATTGAAAAAAGGATTTTTCCTCATTCATTCATGCATAATACATCTAATCGGTTTTATAAGTGCTGACATTTTTTTTAGTGTACAATGCTGAGATATGAGAATCGTCGGTTTTTCGATTTATTTAACCCTATAGTGATAGTGGGCATTATTCTCGTGTCCATTTTTATAGGAAAAAAGTCAACTGTTTTTTTTTGTTTAATAAAGAACTATATTTTGAACAGCGTGACGTAGCCATTAAGAAATTGGGGCAAATGAGAGGAGTTCAAAAATGAATTTTATGTTTTTCGCATTCAAAATTGGATACGTCATTCTGTTGAAAATCTATGAAAGATGTGTTTCACTTTTTAAATCAATCAATTTAATAGTTTTTGAGTTATCAATGCCTTGCGTCTTGGAAAAATTTGGTTCGAGAAAAACATAAATGAAAAAAAACAAAAATGCTTTCGGTGCCCTCCTGCCTCGCCGACTTTGAACGAACATAAATTTCACAATTATCAAGATATTATCTTGGTTGTCTTGTCTTGTCTTGTTTAAAATAATTTAACAAAATAAATTTTTTGAACATTTCAATGAGGCAAACCCTTTAAAACATAGACGAATACACTGATATTACCTATAATGGAGGAATCGGGGGGGGGGGGGTTATGTATCTAAAATACAGTTTAAACCAGCAAAATTACCATCACATAATACTAAAAAAAGTGTAATCAATCAAAAATACCACAGCTCGCAAATAACTGTCGACCGTTTCTCGTTGTCTGCAAATAAGTGTCTTTTCCTGACACTTTACGAAAAAACTCAGAGAGCAACCGAAATAAGAGTGCTTAAATGAGCTCGCTCGCGCTCAGAGCGAAACCGTTTTTTTTAATTCTGTTTTGTTCTGGTTGTTCCAAGACCGTTTTGTCGTGTTCAGTGAAGCAAAAAGTCTTTTGCATATGTATTGGTATACACTCACACGCATAGGCAAGCAAGTCTTTAAGCGTCTGTATAGCGATCGTGAATTGAGTGTGTGTGAGTAAATGCAAAGACCGTTTGCGTTGAGTTTTTCGGTCAATCGGTCTTTTGCTGACTCTCATTGTGCGAGCGTTTCTCGTTTCGCTCTTTAGGCAATGCTCATTGAAAGAGCGACACACAAAGAGCTCAACGAAAAACGTTCAACAGAAAACATAAAAGAATACAGCAAGAGTCTCTTGCTCAGAGCAAGAGCGAGAGAGTATGAACTTTTTCGGTTGTGCTCGCAACGAGAGCGCAAGAAAAAAATCGGTCGACAGTTATTTGCGAGCTCTGAAAAATACACAAAAAATAAATTAAGCAAATGTCTTTCACAAAAAATTTTTAAAAGTAAATGCTAAAACTCTGCATCGTAACTGCTGACCAACTTTAAAAATTATTCCAACTCACGCAGTGCTTCTGACATTTCACAGAAACTTTCCCACATTTCAAGAGAAACTGAAAAGGAGCCAAACTGAAATCTCCCTGTTGTGAATCAACCTGGCGAACTCTGCTGCCATATCACTAAATCTTACACATTGTACCTATTACATAGGATACTTTCGCAGAAAATTTTCGACGTGGTACAAATGTACACAATCTAAAAGCTTTATAATTACTGCTAAACTCCCTAAACTCCCTGCATCCTTAACACTGTGAAATTAGCAAATTCTTTAAATAATCGATTTCAAAATAATATACATATATTGTTTTTATATATGTACATATGTAGGCAAAAGTATTTAAACATCGAACATTTTCATAGCCAAACTTTTTTTAAGTTGTTATTCATGTTGTTCTTCACCGATTTGCTTGAATTTTTTTGTCGCGTAGTAATAGAAAATATGCATCTACAGTCTTAAGTTACTTAATTAATAGTTGGAAAATTTGGTTTTCCTATCGATGAAGGCTTTTAATTGGATAGAAGTAAGTTTATTAAGCTATATAAAAAAAAAACGACATATTTTTTTTACTTTCAGGATTGTCCTATGAACCGTTATTGTTTTCTTTCGTTTCCTGTTTGATTTTGCATTGATCAATTTAGGCGATAATAAAATGTTCACCACTGTATTTATAAAATAATTGTATATTATACTTTTTTAGGTGGAAGCAGCTCTCCAAACTGATCCAGAAAATGAAGAGCTTTTAAAACTTAAAAGTGATCTGGGTGAAGTCATTACACTAACTCGTGATTTAATACACACGCAACTAGAAGAGCAACATAAATCTTCATATGTAGAGCCATCTTCAAGTAAAACCGCTTCGGCAAATTACTTTGACGAAATTGAAGCTGCTCTTTTAGAAGCAGAAAAACTAGTTTCAGCAGCCAAAATTTGGAAGATTGGCGACAAATGTCAAGCTAAATGGAAAGAGGATCGACAGTACTACGATGCAACTATAGAAGGAATATCAAGCGAAGGAGAAGTAAATGTAGTGTTTGATGCATATCAAAATCGTTCGACAACAAATGTCAACGAGCTTCGAGAATGCAGTACCCGCAACGAAGTTTTTCCTTCGAATAAGTATATATAATAACTATGGTAATCACTATTAGTCGTTTAAAACTTTTTTTTTAGACGACACAGGCCAAACCAAAAAGAATATTTAAAAAAAAGGAAACAAAAGAAACAACAACGCTTCAAAGACCTGGAGGAGGAACGTGAATCAGACAAAAATAAATGGCTGAATTTTACAAATAAAAATCAAAAAAAAAGTGGAATAAAGGTAAAAAGTATATTTGCCTCTCCGGATAATGTAAGTGGCAGAGTTGGAGTTGGCACTTGTGGAACAGCAGGAAAGGGAATGACTGATTTTACAATAGGCGAAAAATATAGAAAGGGTCTTTAAATGTATAGAAGAAACTACAAAAAAATATAAAAATAAATAAATAAATAAATAATATCAAATAAAGGCTCTATTACTTCCAATTAAATTAAAATACAATAAATTTAGGATAAGACGGCTTTTTTAAACAGGAAATTTTTAATGCAAGGTTGATTTGGGTTTCCTTAGTTTGCCAACTAGAAACAAGAGTATTACAACTTAATATAGACGTTGATGCACTAAGGTCAGTACACTCAACTGACCCGTGTGACACCAAGCACGTGCCTCTTTGGTTAGATATTAGTAGGCGCGATAGAAAATATAGAAAAGAATGGGAGGAAATTAACTACCACCATGCTGCCAGATTATTTGCTTACATTTGTAGGGGTATTTAACTTTCTGAGTATTCAAATTTCCGTATTTTCAATGATACCATGTTAAGAAATGATCAAACTGCTATGTTACATACCTAAAATGTTAACTTAACAGTTCAGTGTTAAAATAACAGCTGTTAAAGTCATCTGTTGCAAGCGAACACCACGGGCTGTCTTAAAGGTTGACTTTGCGGTGCAGTTTCAAATTGGCATATCTCTAACAAAAAATCATTAAATAACCAAATTCAAAATTAATATTAATTCTTCAGGTTATTACTATGTGTTAATACTAATATGTTGCGTGTTGCGTTCGTATTTTTCTACAAATTTGTACATTTAGCAAAATGGTGTCCCCTTGTCACAAAAAAGGTTCAAATTGTATCAGTGAGTGTCCATATACATGTTGTAGGTTGGCAAATTCTGAATTCAAAATATCTCATTGTGCGTTTATTGCGTAATTTGAATTATTAGGAAGCAACATCTTGATCAGAAATGCAGAACTGCTGTGGCGTAAGCAAGGGAGGTTCAAATCCTCCGGAAATATATTGTGGAATAATAAAACTCCGCAGAATATAAGGTTTTGTTAACCGTAAAAACTGATATCGACGTAAGGGAAGACGACAATACATATTTTTTTATAATAATAATGAAATTGATGACAAAGATGAAGTTGAAAATGAATACATAGAATAATAAAACAAAAAAAAGTTATTCTTAAATAACTTCTATATTTATTATCCGATCTGAACCAAATTTGCCGGACACATTTAAAATAAGAAATTCATCCTTTGTTCCGAAATTGGAAATAGCTTGAAAATATTTAATTTTTTCGATTTCTGTGGGCGGAGAGGGCCGTTGACACGCCCACTTTTCTAAAATACCTTCCTATAGTCATAACCATCATACAAGAAACCGCTCTCTCGTGCTGGCTCTAGACTCTACAGTCTGCCCAAAATATAAAAACTTTTTGGCGTTGCGCTTGCGAACAGAAGCACATACAAATTCACGTACACATACGCACTTGTTTGTTCTCTGCAGTAACTGTCATTCATCAACAGTCGCATTTTTTTGTCGATGATTCATCAACAAAATGCCTTTTGGGAAATATAGTCAGAAAAGAAACCTAAATTAAAATAAGTAGTAATTATAGTGAAATAACTTAAATAATTTGTCCCCCAATGCAAGCGCTAGAGGCTAAGTATTGCTGTGACGTCATAAGCAAGTGAGCCGCCGCTTCGGCCCACTGGCTGTGGTCGTCCAAAATCTTTGAAAAAGACTCTGCATGCTGAAATTTGAATACGCATACAAACGTGTGAGCGCTTATACACATATACACAGAAACGAGAGCACAGCGCAAAGAAACGCACCCCTGCTCATCCTTCCACGGTCGATCTGCCACTGAAAAGTGAATTCTTGTTGTGCTCGGTTTCGAACGACAGCTTCGAACTCGAAAAAGCCGAAGGCACTCTGGGGCACTTCATTCCTAAGCAGAACCAAGGCAAGCCTCATGAGGACAATCCCTGGCCAAAGCGCAGGGATGCTGAAACCTCGGACCAGAATAAAGTTCAGACCATGGAGGTAGACCCGGCTAAATTCAGACAAGAAACAAGCTGGAGAAAGCCACAAAGTAATAATAATTACAAAAGGCAGAACTTGTCCCAGAGGCTATCGGGCCAAAGACGCCAACGCGTCAATAATATAGCCCAGCCTCAACAAGAGGAAACAGATTATGCCGCCACAGCTCACGCTGAGGTTTCCACCATTGAGGAAGATAGCGACACCGACAGCCGAGCTTAACGACCTCCTCTATTTTTTAGGGAGCGCTCCCAAATGCCGTTCGTCGAGCGACAGCTGGCTGCCAAAACAATAAAAATTCTCATCGACACGGGGGCGGCAAAAATTACGTGAACCCCGTAAAGGAGCTAAGAAACGTGATACCGGTCGAGACCCCTTTCACTGTGAGCTCTATTCACGACTCCAGTGACGTCAAAAACATGTGCATAATGCACATCTTTGCACAAGACGTCCCGTTTATCCTCTTGGATACACTGAGCACGTTCGATGCTATAATAGGCTTCGATTCGCTAACGCGAGCAGGAGTGGCATTGGACTAGGCAACAGCGTAATAAAATACGCAAACGTCACTGAAAATCTCAAATTTTTTGACTGTCAGAATGTCAATTTCACAAAAATCGATGATATAGTTGTGCCAAGTTCGGCTAAAGCCGAATTCAAAAAAATTATTCTGAAAAGAGTTAAGGTGTTTTCGACCTCTAACGAGGCACTCATCTTTAACACTTCGGTCATCGCTTCCATTCGAACGACGAGTGACGAACCTAACTACTCCAAGTTATACCCCTATCCTATGGGGGCAGTGGACTTTGTAAACAAGGAAATCAAAGAGCTGCTGCAAAATGGCATAATTAGGCCGTCCAGATCCCCATACAACAGCCCTACCTGGGTGGTTGACAAAAAAGGGACTGACGATAATGGCATCAAGAAGAAGCGATTAGTAATCGACTTCAGGAAGCTGAACGAGCGAACAATCGCCGATCGCTACCCCATGCCAAGCATACCCAAGATTCTAGCGAACTTGGGAAAAGCTAAATTCTTTATCACCCTAGACTTAAGGTCAGGGTACCATCAAACATACCTGGCTGAAAAGCACCTAGAGAAGACCTCGTTCTCAGTTAATGGTGGGAAATACGAATTTTGCCGACTACCCTTCGGTCTAAAGAACGCAGGGAGTATTTTCCAAAGAGCGTTTGACGATGTGCTGCGGGAAGAAATCGGCAAAATCGGCTACGTCTACGTTGGCGACGTTATTGTCTTTTCCGAAAATGAAACGGATCATGTCAAGCACATTGACACAGTGCTTAAGCGCCTACTCGATGCCAACATGAGGGTGACACGGGAAAAAACAAAGTTCTTTAAAGAGAGCGTGGAATTTTTAGGATTTATTGTCACCAGAGGAGGGACAAAAACAGACCCAGAAAAAGGCAGGGCAATAAAAGAGTTCCCAGAGCCAAGAAATCTGTTTAGCCTCAAGTCTTTCCTCGGCCTGGCGAGCTATTACAGGAGCTTTGTAAAGAATTTTTCCTCTATTGCTAGACCCCTTACCGCAATCCTCAAAGGGGAAAACGGGACGGTCAGCAAGAATATGTCGAAAAAAGTAGGTGTCAGGTTTGATGAAACCCAGCGAAATGCATTCGATCACCTTCGTAACATTTTGGCATCGGTAGATATCATATTGACATACCCTGATTTCAAATTACCGTTTGACTTAACCACCAACGCCTCAGCGAGTGGAATAGGCGGTACTGTTCCAGAATAAAAGACCTACCATGATTTCACGCACGCTAAAAGACTGCGAAATGAACTACGCCACCAACGAAAGAGAATTATTGGCGATAGTCTGGGCAATAGGCAAACTCCAAAACTACCTATACGGTAACAAGGAGGTACGGATCTTTACAGACCACCAGCCTCTCACATTTCCGGTATCCGAAAAAAACACCAACGCTAAGATTAAGCGATGGAAAGCGTTTATTGATGAGAACAACGGGAAAGTGTTTTACACACCCGGGAAGCAAAACCTGATAGCTGACGCGCTATCGAGGCAACCCCTGAATAACCTAGAGGCTGAGGCCCAGTCCGATGCGGCCACGGTACATAGTGAGCGTATAGTCATACACCATAGGAACCACAGACAAACCTCTTAACTGCTGTAGAAACTAAATCATTTTGGAAGAAGCAAGCCAACCGCTTCGGCGGGACTTCATAATCTTCGGAAATAAAACCCGCCATATCATTAATTTTAATAAAAAGGAGTCGCTGTTGAATCTGTTAAGGAAATCATCAACGCCAACGTTGTGAACGCGATTCACTGTGATTTCTCTACACTGGCTCGTATCCAACATGCCTTGAGGCAGGAATTTCCTGTGACAAAGTTTTAGCACAATCGCGCTCATAGGGCTGCACAGCAGAACGCAAAGCGAATTCTCCGGGGTTACTACTTCTCGAACATGTCTAAATTAGCTAGCGAAGTGGTCGCAAATTGCAAGGTCTGCAATAAAGCTAAATACGACCGCCATCCTAAGATGCTGGAATTAGGAACTACACCTATCTCGTCATATGTTGGGGAAATGTTGCATATCGACATTTTTTTGACCGACAAAAAAATCTTCTTAACCAGCATTGACAAATTTTCCAAATTCGCTATCGTACAGCCCTTGTTTTCTAGGGCAATAATTGATGTACGAGCACCTATCCTCCAATTGGTAAATTTCTACCCTAACACCAAGACCATATATTGCGATAATGAGGCCTCCTTTAACTCCGAAACAATCACGTCATTGCTGAAAAACCAATACAGCATCGATGTTGTCACAGCTCCAATGGCCAAGAAGAGAGATTTCACAGTACCCTGGCGGAAACTGCCAGATGCCTCAAAATCTTCTATATATATAAAAATATACAGCTGTTCGTTAGTCTCGCTAAAACTCGAGAATGGCTGAACGGATTTATCTTATCTTGGTCTTGAATTATTCGTGGAGGTCTAGGGAAGGTTTAAAAGGTGAGAAAAATTCGATTAATTGCCGGGAAAATCCTCAAAACAGTATTTTTCTATTTCCCATACAAACGTTTTCTAAATAAAATGTACAGGCAGACAGCTAAATCAAAGCATT